ACACGTCTGCGTTTAGAGTCCGACCCAACGCTCAGGACCAGCAGAACCAGAACCGACCCGGAGACCGTCCGAGAAGAGACCTGCGGGGACCAGAACCAGGACTGAAACAAGACCAGAACCAGGACTGAAACAAGACCAGAACCAGGACTAAACCAGGACTGAAACAAGAACAGAACCAAGACTAAACCAGGACTGAAACAAGACCAGAACCAGGACTGAAACAAGACCAGAACCAGGACTGAAACAAGACCAGAACCAGGACTAAACCAGGACTGAAACAAGACCAGAACCAGGACCAGAACCAGGACTAAACCAGGACTGAAACAAGACCAGAACCAGGACTAAACCAGGACTGAAACAAGACCAGAACCAGGACTAAACCAGGATTGAAACAAGACCAGAACCAGGACCAGAACCAGGACTAAACCAGGACTGAACCAGATCAGAACAAGGACCAGAACCAAGACTAAACCTGGACTAAACCAGAACTGAACCAGGACTGAACTAGGACTGAACCAGGATCAGAACCAGGACTGAAACAGGACTAAACCAGGACATGGTCTTAGAGGAGACCTATGGGACCAGAACCAGACTCAGAACCAACCTGAAGACTGGCCAAGAGAAGACCAGCGGGCCCAGAACCAGGACTGAACCAGGACTGAACCAGAACCTAAGAGACTAGAACTAGGACTGAACCAGAACTAAACCAGGATCAGAACCAGGACTGAAATAGGACAAAATTAGGACTAAACCAGAACCTAAGAGACCAGAACCAGGACTAAACCAGGACTAAACCAAGACTCTACCAGAACTAAACCAGGTCTAACCCCGGTCCAAAGTGTGTGGTACCTGGAAGACGGCGCAGTGGTGGAAGTCCGGGTGGGCGCCGGTGTTTCGGGCTTTGACCTGCTGGGGGCGCCGCTCGTCCGGGAGGAGCCGGAGCTCGATCAGAGTCGGACTCGAGTGAAAACACAGAGGAAGATTGGACAAACGAAGAAGAGAAACGAGGAGCTGCTCCGAACGATGTCGGTACTCCACCGAGAAACAGAGGAGAGGAGACGAGGACGGAGGAGACGAGGAGAGAGGAGACGAGGACGGAGGAGACGAGGAGGAATAGAGGGAGGAGAGGAGGGAGCCGACAGGATACCAGCCTGAAAGAGAGAGAGACACAGAGGTTAGAAATAAAATACACTTCAGTGATCGTTTCCTTCACGTGAACATGAACCTGTGAACCTCTGTGTGACAAACACAAATGTACAGACACATTTTCTGTTATTTTGTAAATGGTTGTTTGTGTTTGTTCTGATGAGCAGCTCCTGGTTAATAAAACCCACTAAACCGTCAGTGTCTTTCATGTTTCTGTTTCATTTTGAGGCACGATACAAGAGACACAGATGAGTTTCCTCCGCAGGGCGTCTCCCTTAGAGACAGAGTGAGGAGCTCGGAGTAGAGCCGCTGCTCCTCCACGTGGAGAGGAGCGTCTGAGGGGAGGACGTCTGTTCTGACGTCTCCTGGACGTGTCCCTCAGGAGGTGTTCATGTCCCACCGGGAGGAGGAGGAGACCCAGGACACACTGGAGGGACCATGTCTCTGGACTGGACTGGGAACACCTCAGGTCCCACTGGAGGAGCTGGAGGAAGTGTCTGGGGTGAAGGAAGTCTGGGAGTCTCTGTTCAGACTGATGCTCCTGAGACCCGACCCCAGAGAAGAAGAAGAACATGGAGGATGGAAGTTCTCTTAAAATACACGACCTCCAGACTAGAATTAAACTCAGAACTATTAAGTCGATCATAAATCTGAAAACAAAATGAAAAACCTGATGTTACTTTTAAAATCTTGGTCAGATCAGAGAACCAGAGGAAACACCAGACACAGGGAGAACATGCAAACTCTACAAAGAAAAACCCTTTTCTGTCGATGTATTTAACCAGAGACCTTCCTGCTGTGAGGAGATGGGGCTAACCACTCTGCCACTACACTAGTGTGTTCTGGACTCACTGCTGACGCTCAGGGACCCGCGGTGGGTCTGGGCCTCCTTCTTCTGGTCCAGGGCTGGTCCTGACTCTGGTCCTGACTCTGGTCCTGACTCTGGTCCTGACTCTGGTCTTGGTTCCAGTTCTAGTCCTGGTCTTGGTTCTGGTTCTTTGGGATCTTCAGGTTTGTGTGAGACGAACCGAGGAGGAATCTCAAAGGGGATTTCAGGTCTAAGGACAAACAAAGACTCTTCAGAAACTTTAAATGTGACTTTATATAAAAGTAAATAAATTGTGACGAACACGGAGGCGACGCCCTGAGACACGAGCACCAGAGGAGCCGTACTCGCCGGGACCGGGGCCGCGCCGCTCATCAGCTCCTGGTATCGGCTCCGGTATCGGCTCTTCCTCCTCAGACAGTAAAAGGTCAAACCGACGAGGAGAGAGAGGAGGAGCGCGGCGAGGGCGAGCGACAGGGGGAGGAGCCAATCAGGAGCTGAGAACAAAACAAACTCGTTTAGAAACACGAGGGAATAAAGAGTTTGACCGTTTTCACAATCACATGTTTGAATAATAAATAATAGAACAGACCAGAGATGTGACCAGATCCAAACCTCACAGGACGATTCTCACCAGATAAATCTATCGGTTTGATATTTATTGTGATATTTTGGAGGCTGATAATTGTAAATGGGACAGTTTTTTCTTTTAAAACACCTTGACAAGATTTCAGTGCGAATTGTTTCCATCCTAATCCCAAGAATTTAAGTAAAAAACATGTTTCTTCATGTTGTTTGTGCTGAAATGCTTCTATAAAACCTGCATTTAAGTAAAGGAACTTGTGATTCGAGATATTGTGATGGTCGATGATACTGAGACTTTTGACGATACGATATCACGATATTTTTGTTATTGTTACATTCCAAACTGTAACACAGTCGGGGGGGGGCAGCACTGACACTACGGCCCCGGGAAGCGGCGAGGTCTGGGAGGGAGGAGCTGTGAAGCCTCCGGAGGGTCGCGCCTCCTTCTCCTTGAGTGTTTCCGACCCAGAGTCACGTGCTCCACAAAATCCAGTTGTGAAATCAAAAGCCAATCAGGAGCGAGGATGTTGAAGGTAACGCCTCTTTGGTTCTACTTCAGTGTTTTTGTTGGTTTAAAGGTTTAAAGTTGCATCATGTGACTTTTCATTCTCTATAGAGATGTTTTTGGGTTTCTGGAATGTTCTCTCTTATATTTATTAAACCACAAAGTTTTTAAAAACAACAAACTCAAATCTCACTCTCACTTCTGACCTGTAAAAGCCTCCTGATGTCACCTTAAAGCAGAAACATCTCCAAGGAGACGAAGTGTGGCTGAAGTTCTGTCATGAGAAAATAAAAGACTGAAAGTTTTCTTACCGCTCATCGTGCAGCTGTGGCCTCGCAGTAGCAGTAGCAGTATTAGTAGGAGTAACAGCAGTAGCATTAGTAGTAGTATTAGTAGTAGTATTAGTAGTAGTATTAGTAGTAGTATTAGTAGTAGTATTAGTAGTAGCAGTAGTTCTGTGGTGGTTCTGTGGGCAGGTGCAGGGTCAGGGAGGCAGGTGCATGTTTCTCATGACGTCTCTTATCTCTGACCCAAAACCCGACAGGTGAACTCTGCTTCTGACTCATTTAAAGACAAAGACTCGTTTTAAAAAATCTGATTTTAGAAAAAAAAAAAAAAAAAACTATCAGACCTGGTCCTTGTTCAGCTCCAGAGCCACTCTGTCCTTTGGTCGACTGAAGCTCATTTGGAATCACAAAATAAACATATCAACATGATTTGACGTCATGTCCAGACTAAAGCTGCATTATTTTATTTTAGAGGTGTTTTTTTTAAATTCTAAATTAAGACATGTCATAATACCCGGCATGTCTAATCTAGGCCGAATGTTTAAAAAATACTAAAGTGCTGCTACTGTGACAATGAAAAAAAAGTCAAAGTAGTGGGACGCTTCAAAAATAATGTTTATGCTGCTGCTCCGACAATTAGACGTCAGTGTGTTAGGTCCCGTTCACACTAGTGTGTATGTGAGTGGTGTTGTTGTGTGTACAGTGTGTACTGTGAGTGTGTGTTGTGTGTGTGTTACAGTGTGTGTTGTGTGTTGTGTTCACACTAGTGTGTATGTGAGTGGTGTTGTTGTGTGTACAGTGTTGTTCACACTAGTGTGTATGTGAGTGGTGTTGTTGTGTGTACAGTGTTGGTTCACACTAGTGTGTATGTGAGTGGTGTTGTTGTGTGTACAGTGTTGGTTCACACTAGTGTGTATGTTGGTCCAGATGTGTCGGGGACTGTGGGACTCCTGAAAACTCTGATCCTCTGCTGTAGGAGCTGGAGTCTCGTCTGATTGGACACTGTGTCACTGTGTCACTGTGTCACTGTGTCACTGTGACTCGCTCCTTCTGATTCTCTGGGTTCGTGACGTCGTCATGTGACGATGTCACAGGAAACAGTTTAAACAAACCAGAGACAAACAGGAACATGTGGGGAATCTTCCCCAGGTGCACAGGTGTCCTCAGGTGACGAGGGGATTTCCAAGATCCGGTCCATTTTGTCTCCGTACAGATTCCCAGTCCAAACTCTGAGCCGCCGCACTCGTCTTAAAATCCAGTTCAGTAACAGCTGAACTTCGCCGTTGGTCCACAAAAAGACGTTTTCACATTTGCCATCTTCCTCGACTCGACATCAGCTGCTGCCACTTCAGACGCGACGACGTGACGCCACAACGCGACGACGTGACGCCAGCCGAGTCATGTGACGCCAGTCGAGTCATGTGACCAGTGTTTCAGGTAGTTTCATGTTACTGTGTGGAGGGACGGCTTTGATTGTGACACAGAAACGACGTGTCTGGACATAAATCGAGTCTCTGATCTGGTGATTCATTTCAGTGTAAACGTGACCTAAACAGCACCGTGACCTCTTCAACTGTTCTTCACAAACTACGTCTTGATTTGTGTTAAAACTATCATTTATTTTTACAATAGTTAAAATTCCACCAAATTAAATCAACCTTAGACAATCAAACTCTGCCACAGGCCCAGAGGAGCACGACTGATGACTTCTGTACCACCACCTGATGATGTCACAGCGTGGGACAGAGCACTGTGAGCCGTGCGGAGGCAGACGGGGTTTCTCTGCCGCACAAATGTGTAAAAATAATCGTCCGCTCTCTCCGCGCGGCTCGAAAAAGTGAAGTCTGAGTCGGAGATTGGACGGAGGCTAATGGGATGAAGCTAATCCTCCCAGCTAATGCTAACGGCTAACGCTAAATCCCCCCGGCAACAACATCCTGCACCGGAACCTGATCTGGCACAATTTATTTACTTTTTACACTGGATTTTTTTACAAGACGTTTTAAGAAAATGAGGCTGGAGGTGAACACTTTGAAACTTAAGATTTGATGGTTTAAAAGTTTGAAAAATGTGAAAATTAGCAGCTCCATTTCAAATCCAAGGTCAAAACTACAAAACAAACGGTGAGTACAGTTTATTTTCTTACAATTCCACTTCAAACATCTTAATCATATTGTTTACTAAGGTTATAAACTCAAACTGTAATTCTGTGGTCTTATTTTCTGTGATTATTTTTGTCGTGGGGTCATTTTGGGACGACTTTTATCATGAATGAAACACAGTTAATCCAATTTACGCACATTAACTAAGTGACGACTTAAAATGAACGACTTGGAGGTTTTGGTTTGACGTTTGGCTCCAGAGTTTCTGTGTAAAGTTAAAAGTTAAATCAGTTTTTGATTATTTAATCTGGTGAAATCTGGTCAAGTTAATCTGGAGCTGATTTGGCGACAGAATAAATCAAACAATGGAAAAAAAATCTCTAATCAGTGTCCTGATTTCATCAAATAACTTTGTAATGTTAATTACACAAAATTTTTAATTAACCAGAATTTCACTGTTTATAGTTAAATGTTAATGAAAACCTGAAATTCTGATTAAATTTTCAGTTATTTGTCTGAGACCTTAAATTTATTCAAAACCCTAAAAGTAAAAAACAAAGACTCCAGCAGATTTAATCACATTAGAACAGAATTAAAGCTCCACTGCGGGACATTTCCTCACATTAGGACAGTTAAAGCTCCACTGTGGAACATTTTATTTATGTGTATTAAGGATTTATGTGCATAGGTGACTCAGATACTTTGAGTGTTTTAGCACAAATGTCAGTTTTCAACACCGTCCATTTAAAAAAATATAAACACCTAAACTTCCTGCACAAAAACACACAAGACACACAAATTACACACATTAGTTTCCAATTTTAAATCAGCTGGTTGCAGTTCCACAGTCTGGCTCCTGTGTCAAAGACTGTGACCCAGAGTCGTGTGCTTGGGGACGACACAATCACCTCGAGCTCCTCTTGTGTTCGCTCTGTGTGCAGTTTACGCTCCTGGGAAATTCTGAATTCACTGGTGTATCAGAGTGAAGACACACTCTCCCCGGGGTCACACTGACCCGAAGAAAATATGTTTTCCTTCCCGCTCTCTTGAGGCGGGTCAATCAGACCAATCAGTGAGGGTTAAAAAAGAGTTCAAGATGATTAAAATGAGTAAAATGTTCAAAGTTAAATAGGTTATGTTTGTTTAAAATGTCACAGTGTCTTGGCTTTTTGTCAAGGATCTTAAAGTTCGATTTGTAAAATGAACAGAAGGTTTCAGAGATCGTGAGGTGATACAATTAGATCGATGTGAGAAGATCATTACGTTCATGAAGAGTTTAGAAGTCTGGAGCGTTAGATCTTTACGTATGAAACAAAAGCAACTGAGACTATTTTTAATCTTCTTCACTAATTATTTTGTGTAACTGACAAATTTGACATTTTCATCCAGAATGAGGCCAAGGTTTTTAACTTTACTTTTCTTGTGAATAATCTCCTCAAAGTCAGTTTTTTGCTTGTGTACATACAGAGAAACAAAGAGAATTTATTTTTTTCACATTCAAAGTCACTTTAAGGCATTTAGAGATCTGCTGTAAGGTCTGACTCACAGATTACAGATTACAGTTAAAGTTCCACTGCGGGACATTTCCTCGCTTTAGAACAGGGATAAAGAGGGAGAGGACAGTTTGTGACACAGTCCAGTCAATAATGATCTTGTTTTTTCTTCAGATCTGGACCATGTCTCGTCCTCTGCGCCCGGCGTCCGAGCGTTACTCCGTCTGCTGCTCCGTCCCAGACTCCGGATCCTTCTGCAGCCAAGACGAGCGACACCTCTCCACCTCCTCCTCCGAAGACGCTCCCATCTTCTCCATCTCCAAAAGCTCCGTGAACGTCGTGGCCTCGTCCCCGCGCCGACACGACCCGACCTTCCCCAGACCGGAAGTGCAGCGCAGCTCCAGCACTTCCGAGCAAAACTGTGACGTGAACGTGCTCCAGAACAACTCGCTTTTAACGAAACAGAACGTGGATCTGCACAGCCCGGACCCGCAGGCCCTGAGCGAGCGCTGGAGGAGCAGCGTGGAGCGATGGAGCAGCTGCAGCGCTCACAGTCGCAGCAGCACCCCGGACACCGTCATTTACCGAGGACCGCAACCTTCAAATGTGACGCCAGAGAAGCTCCCGGAACCGTCCAAGCTGGCATCCCCTCCTACCAGAACGCCCTCGCCGCTCTCGTCCCCGCAGCTCACTCCTTCACAAAACGCCAACGTACAACTCGCGACGTCAGAAAGTCAAGAAAATTCACTTTTAAATCCGTATTCGCCGCAGTTTTCGCCGTTACAAGCTAAAAACATCTCGCCACTTCCACCAAAAGAGCTGCTCCGTTTCACTTTCCCATCTCCGGTTTCCAGTTCAGTCAGTTTGGAAAAGTTTGCGGCGGAGGACCCTCTTTACGCCGTGAAAAGTTTGGAAATCGACGCCAGTTTAGACGAACTCTTAACGAACATTTCGCCACAAAATTTAGAGCTGCGATTCGAAAACCAAGACTTTATTTTACCGGATTTCACAAACTTTCCACCCTCTCTGAGACCGCCGCTCGCCACGTCTTTGAGCGATACTTATCTAGGCGTTTGCTGTCGTTGCAATGAACATTTCTGCAAAAATAACGTCGATTTTCGTCATTTAGGAACAGAGAAAATTCGCGAAGAAGCTACAATGACTTCCAACGTTCAGCTTGTCGATATCGGCGTCCAAACTTTTTCGCCGGTCTCTTCTTGGTGGAATTTGAAACGGAACAATTCCAGCGCTGGTTCTCAGTCCATCCTGGGATCTCCGCCGGGTTCCAGGTTGAACCTCCGATCTCCGGTGGGTTCGCATTCTAATTTAGTATCTCCGTCTTCGAGCATGTTCGTGATCCACAGCGACGACGAGGAACGCAAGATCGAGAAAGAGGATCTGACTTTGGAAACGTCGTCGAACGTGGAAATCGAGCG